GGTTAAAGAAACAAGAGAGAAGAGACTGAATCACTGTGGCTGTTATCCAGACGTTTCCTCATTCATGCACCACATATTACATAACATTCAGATCTACGACACTCAACTGATCGAAGACACTCAACGTATGGCTAACAAGGCCTGTATTTAGCTGTGTTTGTGTATTTAAACCAGAGGCAAGGCATTCATTTAGAGATGCCTACAAGCTGCTTAACATTAATGTCTACCCAAAGCTACAGCAATAACCGTAAAATATATGTGGTGCTAGTTGTTTTAATGAATTATATATACTGTCACTGCTACCAATTATCAGTGTCATTCGTTGCTGAGTTCCACTAACAATAAAAATAGAAAAATTGTTATTTTAGCAGGTATAATGTCTCACACTCTAAATATACATCATATATCTGCTTATTATCTCCACCAGGAGATAACGAGATTGGCCGTGAGTGAGTGAGTGAGTGAGTGAGTGTGTGTGCATCTCTGTATCTGTCCACGGCTAATCTTGCCCTCTTGAAAAATGGCCCCAAGGCAGATAGAGTCACTCAGAACTGTGTTGCTGGTTTTAAACAGAAACATAGCGGTACAGTATGCGTGGTCTGTTGTGAATCTGTGGAGATTGGCCATGACAGACGTTAGACTCCCGGCCTGAGTTATGTTCCCATCCATGATGCACACCTGGTGGAGATCTGCTCTCTGCTGATCATGCATTATGTCACTTATTTTCTTGCTCTTTCTCTCTCTCTCTCTGGCTTTCTGTCTATATTTAGTAGAAGGACACTACACTACAAGTGTTACCATTCACAATTACTGTAACCAGTACATTAGAGACATTGTATTTTCTCTTTTGTTTCAATTGCTTTACACCCTGCTACTTTACTTTATGGAAATGATTAGTTTAAGTGCTCATGGTGTAATCATTTCCTCGGGGTCTTTACACACGCTTTGACATGAATACACAGTCGGCTACAATCTGTCTCTGTGATGCCTCCGGATATTCTCTGGATATGAATCCTTTGTTTCAAATGGAGGCCAATGTTTCCGCTTTCCACAGATCATCTGGGTCCCACGTTGAGCCTTTCCCTATTGCCTGCAGTTATCTCAGGTTATAGTGTTTTTAAAGCGCAATGTGCAAATGTGAAGCCGAGCATAGAGGTCGTGCATTTAATACAGTGTGTTTTCTTTTATTAACATAGGGCTAGCTTGCAGCGATGTTAATGTATCCTGTAGGAGCAATACGGTTTGAAATCACTACAGGTGTTAGCTGTGACCCGGGGTGGTCGGTAGTGGTGCTCAGCCGCACAAGTGATAGTTGGACTCGTGGCCCCGTGGTTGTGGAGTTGAATCCGGCTTTCGAGGACGCACTGGAACACCGCAGGGTGGCTGAAGGCTGCGAGAGACTCAGCCCACGCTCGAACTTAAGCAGCTCTCTCATCCATTACACCTGCTGCCTCCCTTCATACATCCCTGTTTCTCACTCCTACTATCACCATCTCGATGGCCATTACCGTTGCTCCCTCCCTGTCTCGCTTTTTGTGGCCTTTTTATTTCTGTCTCGGGTGTTGAATCGCATCCCAAGAGGAGAAACGGCTCCCATTAATATTTCCTGCACGATTGCAACAAACGACTCAGTTCCCTATTCATCGCCGTGGTCTGTTTGTTGTCTGCTGGAGACTGCTGGAAGCAGCGGTAAAGTTTAAAGGAGGATTTATACTTCTGTGCACTGGTGCGCGGCAGGTGATGGTCCCAGTGAAGGGATTGATTTATAGCATTGTGTCGCGTCTGTTTGCCGCTTTGTGTCGTGCTTTAATTTCAGCGTACCCCAAAGTCATCAGCAAAGTATCTTCTTTTATTCACGTTGTGATCTAGAGTGAGAATGAGAAATCATTTATAGCTAAAGTAATGATTAAAGGGCCGGGCATGTTTGCATTATTTTAATTACAAACCTTCATAAGGAGCAGATAAAGGCGGCTAGAAAACAATAAGTGAACTTCTTTAACTCGTATTTACTTTGAAGATATATATTTGTGTTTTTGTGCATCCTAAAGATTTCTGTTCCGGTTGATTTGTTGACACCTGACCTGTTGTTGCTGTCGGTTTCCGTTGACATCGTAAATTTGTGGGCGAAAACACAAACAATCCTGGTCGACCAATCACAGTTATCTGTTGCCACCACGGCTCTAATGTAGTTACTGTAGCCCATCAGCTCCAGTGTGCATAGCATCCACTGCTGGACCATAACGTCCTCACACACAGTCTAGAGATCCAGCTTAATACTGAATAAGATCCAGGTTATGTTTTTCATCTGTCTTTCTTTATTTCTCTGTGTCCTTCAGTCTCCTGACTAAACAGGCACCTGGCAGATAGGGAGGGCGTCTGTGCAGAAACAAAACATCAATACTTATTTTTGGTGAGCTTCCCACGCTCCTGAAATGGCCCAAATCCAGAACATTTAAAAATCCCATCTCCTGGAGGCTGACAAAAAGATGAACGCAGTATTTACCCTCAATGAGTTTCCCAAATTTTGCTGTAATCAAGGCATCGTAAACAGTTATACACCTTCCTAAAAATATCCGAGATCATTGTTTGTTGCACTCCACAGAGGTCGCTGTGTTTTGAGAACACCACAGGATCATGACCTAGATACAAAGGACTGGAAATCGAGAGGCATTGTGGTTGCCTCCTTTTAGAAATTGTCACCCGAGAGAAGTCCCCGGCAGAAGATGCTGCTAAATATAGTTCTGCAACATCAAAGGTCCCCTTTGAAGTGTGTGTGTGTGTGTGTGTGCTGCTCAGTCAGTGTCTCCGCCTGCGAGCGAGGCTAATCTGACGGGTACACAAGCCCCCATGCAGACAGACACAATCAAGAAACTCTCGCTGGAGGTGCGACACACACACAGACATTTTACACAGTTTTTTTTTCCCCAGCAAATGATGGCATTCCCTGCTGCTCATTTGCTCTTATAAGCTCTGACAAATTACTCAGTCAGCAGGTTCCGGGTTTGATGTTTTGACTTTGAAGGTCGTCGACAGTACATTTCTGAAAAAGTGCATACAGGGTGCCACTTTATTCCGTACGATAGTCGTGTTTGACAACTTGATAGCTTGAGAAGGAAAATACTTTTTCTGTAAACAAAACCAGGGGTTGAACTGCGGCAGTCTGCATCAGACGAGCTGATTTTAACGCCTTTTGCGGCTTAAGATTCTGCATTTAAGGACCAATTATTTAGCATATTAACGAGGCGACTTTGGAAAGGCTTGGCGAGCGGCTTAATGGCCTCATTTGCATTCATTTTCCAATCATGGCATTGTTTGATGCCGTCTGGAGGAAGTTAAAAACCATATCTTTGAACTACTTGATTAAAGATGTTTTGCTTTTTCTTCTTATGAAGAGGCAGTTCAGACGTCTTCATTCACAACTGTAGTCCGATAATATCCATTCAACGTTCCTCAAACATCGGACCACCTAAATGTTTGAGATGGACCTTCTTCTGTTTGATGCTGGGAAGGTCAGTACTTGTGACAATGGTGGGGCTGTTTCCTTCAGACAACACGTCTTAGTTTATTACAACAACACTCCGGTGCGGCACCATCGTGGCTAGATGAGAGAACTCAAAAAGCCGTATAACACAGTTATAATGCCATAAAGTAAAAAAAAAAAAAAAAGAAAACACAAGTTGAATTTCTTTTACAAAAAATGAAATCTATAAATACGACATTTTTCCAAGTGCCCACAGGTGTTGCCAGTATATGGAAAAGAATGGCGCTCCTCTCCTCTCTGCTCTGTGTAAACAGCCTGTAGCTCAGTTGAGGTTTCATCAGTTTTTGTCACACGACTGTTGTTCTCAGCCAAGTCGTTCACGGCTTTGTAGTTACACTAAGAGGCGCATAATTCAATGTTTTCCACAGGATGTGGTTCGTGCGAACAAACTATGTTTTACAACATTTTAAATAAGACAAAATCACTTTTAAAAAGCTTAGATTTGGTTATTTTTCCTGAGCGTTTTTCTATTTTTTTGTCACTCAGATCATGATTTCTGTTTTTACAGTTTTGCGCTACAGTAAATAGTCTAATTTTTAAAAAAGAAAACAAAGAAGTGGGGGCTCTCCCTGGCCCCGTGTCTGCACAGCTCAGGCATTGTTCCAGCGTTGTGTAGAGATGCACGAGCAATGTCAGTTGGCCTTTTAAAGTCAAATCAGCCCACGCCACCAACCAGGGGTGATCAGTGGCACAGTGGCTCCCCTGCTCACTTTAACACACACAGATGGATACTTAATATGCTGTGGTGAGGGCCTATCAAGTGTGTTTTACGGGCTCCTCTTTTAGTGTGAACAACCCTTGCTCAGATGTGGAAAAACCCATTCTGCACCTCGGGGGCAGAGTGCCTGCGTGTTATCACAGCCGGGATCGGCTTTAACAAGTCTAATTAGCGTCTTGTGACGAGGGAAGTATTTAGGAAGTCGTTTGTACCTCAGTTTACCGTGATAAATACTTTGACACTCTTTGTCTTTTTGTTTTAGTAACTGGAGGAGAGATGATGAGCGTGTCAGGGAAGTTGACTTTAAAACTCTGCCACTTACAGGGTAAAAATATATTTTCATCACTTCCCGCGTCGCCGTCAGCTGGCAGAACCGCAGCTCCTGTCGGGAGTCCTCGACGTGATGTCAGCTCCATGCAAATGGAGTTGATTTCTCCTCTTGGTGTCCAAATTGCATCACTTAGTTCCTGAGACGGTATGCTGCCATTCCCCCCTGAAAGCACACCGCTCAAACATTCAGCCTCAGCTGTGTACGGAAGAAAAAGGCAGGGGGTGGGGGGGGGCAAGGAATAAAGAGCACTTAATGAATAGATCTGGGTCAGGGTCAGCGTGTTTCAGCTCTGGTGTGTTCTGATCTCTCCTTAAAACACTCGACAATGAGTCGCTCTCACTTAAAGTCTCCCTCTCATTCAGCAGCTCAAAGCTCCGGCGGCTCTAACTCCTCTCGCTTATCTCCTGCAGGCACGACCAGGCAGCCCAAGGAGGGAGAGGTCCCGGGGGTGGATTATAAGTTCGTGACCATTGACCGCTTTATGGAGTTGGAGAAAAGTGGAGCCCTGCTAGAGAGCGGAACGTATGAAGGTAAGGGTTCAGTTGCGGCCGTTGCTCTTTTGTGATATCCTCAAATTGTTTTTGATTGGACTCATGGCGCGGCGTGGCATCTCTCTCTCTCCTCTCTCTCGCCATCTCTCTCTCTCTCTCTCTCTCTCTCTCTCTCTCTCTCTCTCTCTCTCTCTCTCTCTC